TGGAATGCATTTTGAACATATAAACAGTCTTAAACATATAAACAGTCTTAATGGGTGATATAAGAATTTAATTTACTTTAAAACATACCTATGTTCTTCAGTTCTAACAATAAAAATAAAAAATAAATTTGTATTACCTCAAATACCTTCAAAGAAGTAATGTTCCAGAGATGTTATTCTTATAATCTAAAAATTATTGTAAAAGGAAAAAAAAAATGATAAAAGTTTAAGAAAATTACAAATCCGATACTCCATTAAATAAAAAGTGAACAAAGTAAAAATACAATTACGAACAATAATGAAAACCGATAAACTCATGCTAGCTTAATTAGTTTTTGTTGGTTTTGTGGCTCAAAATTTGTGTGCAGAAAATTAGTTTCATTTTTCGTTTTAGAAGGTTGAAATTTGTAGAGGAAAATGTATCCCATTATGTCTCTATTTTAGAGTTTTGTTCATTATGGTAACGTCTTGTAGACAAGATAAGGAAAACTTATCCAACAAGGAATTGGGTTTGAAGACTCTGTAAATAGAGATGGGTATGAAAGGTTTAGAGAGAGATAGAAGAGAGAAAAAATGTAAGGGGTTTAAGAGTGAGTGTTGTGAGGAGAGGGGAGAGCATATGTAATTCCCGAGTGTATACATGTAGCCTCAAAAGAGATGATAAATGAGTGAGTAGGATTTTGACATGTAGTTGTATATTCTATTCCTTAATTCATAATAGTGAAATCTCTTTCTCCCATGGACGTAATCCTAGAGTTGGGTGAATCATGTAAAATATTGTATTGTATGTGGATGTGTGTGATTATTATCTCCATATATGCTTCTGTTGATGTGATGTGCTAATACTTCTGTTGTGTGTAATGAAGGAGGAATTTAACTCTCAATAATAGCTGTTCGTTGAGTGGGTTGTAGGGAGTCAATATTTTTCTTTTCCTCTTCTTGACCAATTAATTACATATGAAATGTCTAATTTGGCTAGACCCAATAATTTTAACATGGAAATTAAGAACTCATGCATACCGTTGAAAAATTGCACAAAAATGTTAGTCAAGGCACCGTAGATAATATTATAAACAAGTCTGCATGCACAAGTATCTATTGTGGACTTTTTTGTATTCATACTTGTTAAATATAAAAGAGAGAACTCTGTATATTGTATTGATGTGAAATAAGATGTATACAAGAGGGGTTTATATAGGAAGGGTTATGTGTGATGAACAAGTAAACCATATATGTATATGGTAACTATACATATAGTAATCCTATACAAGGTAAACCTATATATGGTAATCCTATATTAGGTTAGAATATGTTATACAATATAGTAATAATATGTTCTAATATATTAGAACAGTCCCCCTCAAAATCAAGGTGGATTAAATGAAACCAGCTTGAGTTTGGAAATGAGATCTTGAAAGCGGCATGATGGAAGCGATCTGATCATGTGAAGTGATGGACCGTAAATGTAAGGTCTTTTGAAGAAGATGAAGACAAACAAAATGACAATCAATCTCAATATATTTAGTGCGCTCATGAAAAATATCATTATGTGCGATCTGGATTGCACTCCTATTATCACAATAAATAGGAGTGGCAGTGGATGAAGAAACTCCCATGTCTTGAAGGAGCCAACGCAACCATAAAAGCTTAGAGTAGTATCAGCAAGCGCCCTGTATTCAGCTTCTGTGCTAGATCGTGTAACCATAGTCTGTTTCTTGCTACGCCAAGAGATAAGTGAATCACCAAGAAAGAAACAATAGCCTGTGGTGGAACGACGATCTGTAGGATTTCATGCCCAGTCTGCATCGAAGTAGGCACGAAGAATAAGCGATGATTGGGAAAAAAAAATGCAGTCTATAAAACATAGTGCCTTTAAGATAACGAAGGATGCGATGAACAACAGCAAAATGAGTGGGTCGAGGGGTAATCATAAACTGACTAACGATATGGATGGCATGAGAGATGTCGGGACGAGTGACAGCGAGATAAACCAGACTACCTACTAATTGGCGATACAAAGTACCATCTCGAAGAGATTCTCCATCATGTAGATTAAGTCTTGTATTGCACTCAAGGGGCGTATCAACAATCTTGCTGTCAGTGAGACCTGATTTTGAGAGAAGATCGGATATGTATTTTGCCTGAGTAAGATAGTAACCATCTGTAGATGTAATTATCTCAAGACCAAGAAAATAACTGAGAGGTCCAAGATCCTTCATCTCGAACTGACGATTGAGAAACTATTTAAGCTCCTAAATTCCCACCAAATCATCGCCAGTAGTGATCATATTATCTACATAAAGTAAAAGGAGAATGATATGATACCTCATTTGATGTGTCGAACAAATGAGGCAGAGTCATATGCACTAGCAGAGTAGCCAAGGTGAGAGATAGGCTGACTGAATTTGGTAAACCAAGCTCTCAGTGCCTATTTGAGATCATACAAGGCACATCTAAGACTGCACACCTTATTAGAATGATGAGGAAAATCTGGAGGAGGCTGCATGTATACTTCATCGAATAAATCACCATTAAGAAAAACATTCTTAACATCCATCTGAAAAAGTCCCCAATGATGAGAAGCAGCCACGACAATAAGAGTTCAAATAGAGGAAAGACGTATAACAGGAGTAAATGTCTCTTCAAAATTAATGCCATATTCCTGTGTGAACCCTCTAGCAACAAGTCGAGCTTTGTAGCGCTCAACAGACCCATCTGAACGAGTCTTGATCTTGTAAACCCATTTGCATCCTACAACAGACTTTCTAGGAGGCATATCAACCAGATCCCACGTATGTATGAGTTATGGATAGTGCATCTAACTCTTCTTTGCATTGCGTGCTGCCATATGGGGTCAAAAGATGCCTCACGAAAAGTTTGAGGTTCATGTAAGGTAACAAAAACATGAAAACAATGAAAATCATTAAGATGTGCAGGTAAATTTCTTACCCTAGTGGAATGAGGGCAAAGATGTTGGGTAGGCGCACAGTCAGGAACCTCAGATGGAGCAGATGAATGGGGACTCAGCTCGTAGAGGGTGGACTATATCAAACGATTCCAAAGAATCAGGAAAGAGACCTACAGAGGTGTCAAATGGGAGAAGAGGAAAAACCTGATCATGAACACCATTAAACTTAGATAATGTATGAAATAGTTTATGCTCCCAGAAAATGACATGATGAGAAATTTTGAGGCGTTTATCAACACGATCATAACATCTATACCCCTTTTGATCAATTTCATAGCCAAGAAAACAACAAAGTCGAGAACGTGGTTGTAACTTATTTCGCTCATGAGGTTGAAAAAGAACAAAACAGGCATAACCAAAGACTTTAAGATGACTGTAGTTGGGAAGTTTTCCATAGAGACGTTCATAGGGTGTTTGATTTTGTAAAAGTGGGGTAGGAACACGATTCATGGTATAACAACAGTAAGAGATGCTTCACCCCAAAAAGATGAAGGCACAGAAGTAGAAAAAGTGAGTGAAAGAGTTAAATCTAAAATATGTCAAAGTTTACGTTTAACTCGACCATTCTGTTGAGATGTGCCAGTACAAGAAGTGTAAAAAATTGTATCGTAATGTTGAAGAATGTGTTAAAATTCATGTTGTCAGTACTCTTGAGCTTTATCAGATCGAAACATTTTGATTGGTTTGGAAAACTGAGTAGCAATCATTTGAGTAAAATCATGAAATATTTTAAGTAATTCAAAACGATTTTTCATTAAAAAATCCATGTGAATCGTGAAAAATCATCAACAAAAACAACAAAATATCTTGATCCTCCCATAGTAGATACGATCGAAGGTCCCCAAACATCAGAATAAATAAGATCAAATGGAGCAGAAGTAAAAGACTCACTTTTATTAAATGGTAAGGCAGGTTATTTTCCCAATTGACATGAAATACAATCAAAAGACTCAAATTTAACCTGACCTAACAAACCCGTAGATGCAAGGGTTTTGAAATGAGATAATGACGCATGACCCAAACGAGAATGCCATAACTCAATAGTAGGATAGGTGGATTGTGTAGAGGCAACAGAAATAGTAGTAGTAAGCAGATGTAATGAAGAAAGTTTAAACAGTCTTCCTATCTTATGGCCTGTCCCAATGATCTGTCCTGTCCGAGGATCCTGTACAACACAACCATTAAAAGAAAAGGTTATGTCCAAGGATCCTGTATACCATAACCATTAGAAAAAAAGGTTATGGTCAATCCCAACTCAGTTAATTGTCCAACTGATAAAAGATTAAGAGAAAGATTTTGAACAAGATAAACATGGGGAACAGATAATTGAGATTGACAAATAGTTCCTATATGACTAACAACCATAGTGGAACCATCAGCTGTGTGTATGACAGGAGAGTGAGAAGTAGGAGTCTGGGATGTGAGTAAGGTAGGATCAGGTGTCATGTGATTGCAGCAAGCAGAGTCAAAATACCAAGAACCATGTTTACCTGGTGTAGTAGAAAGAGCAGTGGAAGATACACCTGGATATTGAGATAAAACCTGGTTGAGAACTGCCTCAAGGTCAGTTGTAAAGAAAACAGATGAGACACATGTTACTACAAGAAAAACAGTTTTTTAGAATGCCTTTTTTACCACGGTTTTAAAATAACCATGGTAGAAAATGTCTTTGACCACGGTTTTTTAAAACCGTGGTAAAAAGTAATATATTTTACCACGGTTATTGTAAAATCGTGGTAGAAAAACTTTCTATCATGATTAATGAAAAATCGTGGTAGTAATTATACTTTCTACCACAGTTATAATAGAATCGTGATAAAAAATGAATTTATTTTATCAAAGTTGGTAAAAAGTGAATTTAAATTTAGCACGTATTTATTCAGACTTTTATATCGCTCTTTTTATCACGGTCAATGAAAAACTGTGGTAGTAGGATGCAGGCACCGTGGTAGAAAGTGAATTTGGATTAAGGCCGTCTTATTCCCGTTACTTTCTTAAAATTTTAGGGCAAATCATTTTAGGCCACACACCCCATACCACACATGTTAGGGCAAATCATTTCAGCCTCCCAAATCACATCTATCTCTATTCTCGTTCTCAACTCTGAACTTGCCCTCTCTCTGTCTCTGCAACTGCAAACTACAAAATCTACAAGAATCAAATCAGCCTCCCAAATCGCCCCCATCTTTATTGTCGTTCTCAGCTCTGAACTTGCCCTCTCTCTGTCTCTACAACTACAAACTACAAAATCTACAAGAATCAGAACCCATATTGGCATATCATTTCAGATTGTTTAAAAAATTAAAACCCATATCCTTCAGTTTCCATCGCCTACTGTTCCAGTTCGGGTTCGCCATTCGAAAGATTTAGCCTCAGGCCTGTTGTCTCTCAACTCTCAAGCCCTCTCTACTCTCTCATAAGGATAACGTTGAGTAACAACTTGAAGATCAGCAATTGACCAAAATTACAGAACTCTACAGGTAAATGTTTCTCTTATATCTTTCATCTCAATATGTTGGTGAAATATTTATCTCCGTATGTGGATAAGTAATTGTGATGAAAAATCAGTTTGGGATTTGAGGATTTTACTAAATTAATTTGATGCAATTTATTGATTTTCTTGACGCCCTGGGTTTAATTAGAGTTCTATTATGTTTTATGTTTGTGAATTAATTAAAAAGGATCTCAAAATTTCATCATCTCTCGTGCATTTTAATGTGAAAAGCCTTGTGAAACTCAATCATGATCAATAAATTGGCATCTATAACTGTTGCTATGATTTATGAAGATGTCTAATTTTCGGGGAGCTGTTTAGTTTCTGCCAAAGAATGATTCCGTTGTAGTGACCATAAAGGATTTTGGGTATTCCCACAAATTTGGTGTGTTTTGTTTTGCCATGTTAAATATGTTTTACCCTATCATGGTCGGGGAATTAGGATGTTTTGACTAAACTTCCACCTTTTGTTGATTAGCGAACCCATTTGGGTTTTTAGCTTTAGTAACTCCTTGTATTAGAAAAAACTTTGAATGGATTAGTGTAAAGACAACACTTATTGTGTCCACGTCTTTGGTGTGGATGGTACACTGATTCACCTTTTCTGTTCTGGTATCAGTTACTGAAAATAACATTAGTTGGTGATATTGCTTTAGTAAAATGACATGGTATCATTGTTCTGTTAATAAAAAATAAAAAAATAAAAAAATATTCACATTCCCTGCCATTTTAACGCTAATGATAATGTCATGTTGAAAGGTCCCCCCACCTTTGTTGCACTGTGCTTTTTCTTTTTTCTTTTTTCTTTTTTAAAGTATTGAGACTGGAATTCGGTCTTCAAGCTCTTATCGACTTGACAGATTGTAGGGGGGAGATAACAGCTAACTTTCGCTCTCTCCCTCAAGCTAATACAAGCAAGGATGCAGACTTATGGATCCCAACAGACACAAAACACATGGTGAAGCCATCATTTCTAGTCCAGCTAATAGTTCATGTACCATAAAAGGCTACCTCTCATGTTAATGATGAAAACACATTCTCTACAATTTCTATAATCATTATAGTTGGACTCCATAAGCTTTTTAGCTACCTTCAATCTATAAAAGGCTAGTTGTTTTATATGTTTGTTGGGCAACAAAGCAATTTAGTAATAAAGCAAATATATATATATAAATGGTGATTTACACAGAGGATTTTTACTTTGGTCTTGGTTGTTTACAGAAGAGAAGGGATGACCCCTTTTCATACTAGCATATATAAAGAGAAGAGAATTTTAAGACCATGCATATATGAAGCTAGATTTTACTAAAAATAACAAGTGCCTACTTTTCACCCTCACTTAAAATATAAGACTTATAAATGTTCATAATTAATCTTCAATACTATTATACTCCCCTTTAAAAAAATTGATTATTCTCCACTGTTTTTGCTGTATTTTTATATCCTAAGATTGCAACAACTACTATAATTCCTCTTGTTCTTGCAAATTTCTTTTCCACGAAGTTAAGCTTCAATAAAAAATAAATAAAACTTAAGTTTTTATAGCTTAGATACCTGTTGAATATAAAAATATAAAATTCATCATTCCTCTCATAATCAAATGCAAATTTCTCATGCAATAACATAAGAGGAAAAATTTTATTTGTAACCTTTTTTTTTTTTTTTTTTTCTAATTCTTCTCAATAAGTATACATTTGTCACTATCAAAAAAAAAAAATTTATGCAGCAACTGTCTAACACTTGTAAACTACAAAAAAGGAAAATATCAAATAAACAATTTAATAGCTCCTTTTGTTTTCCTTCATCTCTTTTCCACATCCCCATGCTTAACTTTTCAAGAGACTTCTACTTGGCTGTGTTTTGTCATGTGAGCTGTCTTTCAATTCCTTTTTCATATGATTAGTATTTTGTAATTCTTGTTGAACATTCATGTAGGAAGAAAAAAACTAATGTGACTCATTTTCCTGAAAAATATATGCTTAATTCTTTTCATTTTTATATTTTTAACAAGCAATCCTTTGTGAATGATGAGGCTTCTTCATCTTGTACATCTAAAATTACAAATTTTGGACTCATGCCCCTACTTTTTTGCAATTTTATCATGGTGAATCCAAGTTTCCTCATAATTTCTTTGATACACTTTTCTGCCTTTGTCCTTGATACACCTTTGATAAATTTTGATTTCCTCCTTGACTTTTAAGGTCTTAACCTAAATGAGCCTCTTCCTCTTTCTTAATTTAGTCTCATTCAATTTCAATTTATAGTCACGTAAATGCATGTCGAGATGGTGCAGACCAAACTATTACATCAATTGAAACTACTCACAGTTTGATTGTGGAGCATTGGATTGATTAAAAAAAATAAAAATCCTTAGAACATTAAGAGTGAAATATTGAGTTGATTTCAGCAACATTGCTGTCATCTTCCTGATCATGAAATTTGCTGAATTTAATGCAGATCACTGGGAATGGTGCTCCCTGATGTCAAGTACTTTACAGAAGCTTCAGTTGCTGCCTTGCGAATATTTAATAGGATTGACCGGATTCCTGAAATCGATGGTGAAGACTAAGGTAGGTTCAAGTGTGTGTTGATCATTTAACCTACCTAGTAATTTTGTTTCAATAAGAATGATGAAGTTAAAGCAATATTGTTTCTTCAATTTACTGGTGATCCTATTCAGAATATAAAGTGCTGACGTGATCAGATGTAACAGGTGGGTGAAAGAGGGTCTCTTTTATTAGGTGGACAAAAGCAGCGGATTGCCATTGCTAGAGCTATCATTAAGAACCCTGTGATTTTACAAGGTATATCTTTTATAATGTATTATATATGTTCTTTGGAATTGAGTCCTTTTTAACTCTATTTTTCATATTATAATTTTAAAAGAACAGTCAACCAGATGAAATTTTAACTATTTTTTGGTTTAAATTAAAATTTCGTTTCAGAAAAATTAACAAACAGTTCTCAAGTTTCTCTAAAAGTTCATAAGTTAATACTTGTAGGGCGACCTCGTACTGAGGTTTTAATGGTCTCAGACCCCTTGCCTAGTAGAGGACTTGATGTTTTCCTTTTCAATCATGGATGAGGAATAGAGATCTATTACAACCCCATTTTTTGTAGTTCATTGCAATGTGAAAGTTGTTGTCTTGTAATTGCTTCATTTGTTTATTTTGTGTTTGACTGACATACTTAATTTGGGTTGTATCAACTGGCAAGGCATCATGTTGACAAGCCCCTTGTTAGGAGATGTGTTACCAATTCCTGTTTCAATAATACAAGAGATAGGAAGTGAGGATTTTGATTTTGTTTGTGTTTAAAGAAAGGGTAGTAAATCTGGTGTGTGTGGGGAGGGGGGAATGGAAGTTACATATTAAGCGATTTCTTTCTTCATTCCTCATATATCTGCAACATACATTTTACTTTAGGTCTTCCACATTTATAAGAGCCTAAAAACTCAATATATATAATTTTGGCAACTTTACAATTTGGTAACTTTACAATTTGTTTTACATTCTCTTACTTCAACTATTACATTTTGTAGGTCAAAGTTAGGATTACGGGATTGCGGTTCCCATTACTTTTTTTGTTGCCGTTATATTTTTTGTATGGCTCATGATCAAGAAGTTGCATATATGGAAAAGAGAGACTAAAACAGAACAAGAAGATATGAAGAATTTTTGTTTTATTTTGGTTAAGTAAAGATATAAGCTTATGGATCATGCACTTATTTGAAATTTGTATATATTTTTGTATAAAATCATGATTTGGAATTGGTTATATATATATATATATATGATGTTATTGGCCAGTTGTAAGTTATTTTGGTTATGATGTTATTTTTTATTTATAGGGTTCGCTTCTTGGATCCTTTCAAGGCTAGTAGTAGGGCAAAAAAAAAAAAAAACAGGGCCTCATAGGGGTTGTACACTATTTAAAAAAAAAATAATAATATAACACTTTTTACCACGGTTCTGCACCGCAGTAGAAAGAAGACTTTCTATCCGGTTATGCACCATGGTAGAAAGTCTTTTTTCTACCACGATGCAAAATCGTGGTAGAAAGTGGACTTTCTACCACGGTGTAGAACTTTATACGATGGCTGTTTCTACCACGGTTCAAAATCGTGGTAAAAAGCCTTTTCCACCGTGGTAAAAAGTTATTTTTCTTGTAGTGTGTAGAGTCACCAGAAGAGTTGTTGACTGGTGTTGAAGATGATGGTGACAGATATTCAGTGTTAGCCACAGCTGTAGTAGAGTGATAGAGAAGCTGACTACATACTGGTTCAAAATCATCATGAAGGCTCATCAGAAACTAATAAAGTCCAATCTGGTTGCGATAGGCGAGAAATTTTTTTGCTTCAGAAGAATGTTCCTATGTTGGATCAATAAGAGCTAATTGATCCCATATACATTGCATCTAAGAGAAGAATTCATTAATTTGCTGACCTTATTCTTGTCTAAGAGTGGAAAGTTGAACCATTAATTAAAAGTGGTAAGCCCTATCAGAACCAGAGTAGCGAGAGACAAGCATGTCCCGGATCTCCTTGGTTGTCTCGTAACTCCCAAATTCCATACCAATGGAAGAAGTGGATGTGTTGCGAAACCATGTGATGATCTTGTAATTGTTGCTGTCTCGGTCTTTAACATGTGTGGCATAGGCATCTAATGTCTCTTCGGTGGTTTTAGTAGGTGTTGTACGATCTCCAGTAACAAAGGGACCATAACTTGTGACCTTTCAAAAAACTGCGCATAGATTGACCCCAAAAGGAGTAATTGTCACCATTAAGAATAACTGAAATAGGGTGAGTTACTTTGTTTTGGGCCATTTAGAAATTTCAAATGCAAAAACGGACTGCGAATTTAGAATCAGCGCGAAAAACTAGGCTGGATAGGTATTTTTAGGAAAAAAATTCAGACATTGCTAACGTGGCGTTGAGGTGGTAGCAGTGACGTGGTAGAATGATGACGTGGCACTAGATGACGTGGCACATGATAATGTGGCAAGCTGATGTGGCTTCGGCGTGTGGAGGTGCGTACGTGGATGACGAAACAACCTAGCTGAATCTTTCGGCGGCACGTGGGAGCGCATGCAAGGTTGTTTCCAACGGGTTTTGGTGGCGTTAGGATGATTTGAGAGTATTCTTGCGCCTGGTATGCTCAAAATTACAAAAGAACTTGTGGAACCCCCTAACAAGATGAATGCTTGATGAACTGATTGAAAACCATCAAATAAATAAAAATAAAATAAAATAATATATATATATATATATTTAAGATAAAGTATACAGAGAATTTGACTCTGATACCATGTTAAATATAAAAGAGAGAACTCTGTATATTGTATTGATATGAAATAAGATGTATACAAGAGGGGTTTATATAGGAGGGGTTATGTGTGATGAACAAGTAAACCATATATGTATATGGTAACTATACATATGGTAATCCTATACAAGGTAAACCTATATATGGTTACTACAACAAATTAGGGTTCTTGCCACAACCCACTTCGTGGCAAAAACCTTCAAATTTCGTGGTGAAAGTGATGAGCGCTGAAAAATGCGTATTTAAACCCCTTAAGCTTAAGCATTCTAGTACATTTATCTATCTTACTTTACTGTCTCAGATTGATTTCGTATTATTTCCATTTTCAGGCACTTATCCCGAAAATAAGCTAAATCAGCCAAATAAGAGCAGAAATAAAGCAATTCTGGGATAAATCAAAGAAAGGAGCCAAGTGGAAGCAAAAGGAAGAAAAAGGTGGAAATCAACATCTTCGATCGATCTTAACACTTCAAGATGGATCAGAGCTATGATGACATTTTCAGAGATCTCAAAAGTTCGATCGATCCAACACCATTCTTCGATCGATCGAACTACCTTGTCATTATTTAAATGATTGATCTTATCTAGTTGTACCACCCTACCAACCACTTTTGTCCTTTTCCCAAAAATATCTTGAAAATATCTTAGATTTGTCTTTATCCAAAAAGAGCCACCATTGAGGATCGATCCAACTTCAGTTCGATAGATTTCAGTCATGTTCGATCGATCAAAGTCCAAGGTTCGATCGATCGAACTTCCTCCAGTGCGAAAAAGTTTAATCTCCAGCTCACCAAAAGTTGTCATTTATCCAATCATTGGGGAATATTTTATGCACGACCCCAGCTCATTTTGGGTGTCATTTGACCTGCCTATATAAGGATAAGGATTACTTTTTACACAATAAAACATACCACCTCATATCATATCATCTCATATCGTGTAAGAACTCTTGGAGAGCAATCTTAGAGGAGAAGGAGGCTAGAGACACCATTGGAGACTCTTCATCAACCAATGAGCAAATCTCTACCATAGAGTTAGCCCTTGAGGGTTGGAGAAGCACTACCATGAGTGACTAGAGTTAGCCCCAAACATGCTTTCTACATCTTGATTTTGTGTATTATTGAGGGATTAGTGTTCTAATACATGTTTTGACACTTTTATATATATAGATCTTGTTTATTCAATGATTTATGTGGTTTAATACTTCCAATTGACCATTTCATTCTATCCATATGTCTATGTATGTTAGAATAGATGTTCATGTGTTTGTCTCTACTTCTTGTGTTATTGGTGCGTGTCTATATGTATTAATGCCATAGATCTAGAGATTGTCAAAACATTGTGCTTAAAGGAATGCTCTTGTAATTGTCTGGATGGTCCATGCTCATTTCTTGATGGATTGTGCCTCTCCCTTAGCTTAGTTAGTTTAATTTCATGTCATTAACTTAATTGTAGTGTAGTGGTAGCATAGTTGTTAGATGGCAGGACAATCCATGCTTGTTGTTTGATGTTCCATAGTTTTGAATGCAAGTAGCATATGTCTCTAACCTTGTGGTGTATCTGGCTTGTAAGCTTAATGAAAGGATTAATGACTTACTAGATATATTGTGCTTTTCACATGCTATTTAGATAATATATACTTAATTGCTAGATATATTGTGCTTTTCACATGTTGATTAAACAATGTATGCTTAATTGGTCACCCTTGCTAGTTGAATCAACCAAACACACACACATCAATATTGCAACACACATTTCCCTCATTAGTCACTTGTTAAGGGTGTAGAAAAACATTGTTTGGTGGTAACCTCTAAACCCCAAGATCTCTCTCTCTTTTACTTACTCTTTATTGCATTTAATTATTTAGTTTAATTTGCTCTAGTTTAATCAACCAACCAACTATTTGTTTGATCACTCGACCTACTAACCCTAATAGCGATTCCATAACCAAATTCGACTCCAATCCCTTGGGACGATCCCTACTCACCTTAACTATATTTTTAGGGAAGGTAGTAGTGGCTTCTATAAATGTAAAACTTGACCCTCGTCTTAATGCACACTCTCTAAGCTTGTGGTGTAGGACGATTTGGAACCACCACCAGAAAGCCTTTTAGCCACAAGAAATAGCTTGTGGCTCAGTCGTGGGCGTAGCCCCGTCATAGATTGTCAATAACCACGACTAAAATTTTTTTTGGCAAAATGTGGAACTTTTGCCACAAAACTTGAACTCGTGGTAAAATACCTCCTATCGCCACAAGCTATTTCGTAGCTAAATAACAATACTTTCGTGGCAATTAGCAATCTCGATATAAGAATTAATCGTGGCTAATTCAATACTTTTGCAACGAAAATATATATCGTGGCTAATTTAACCCTTTTCCCATGGAATTTATTTGTGGCTATAATTCTAATTGCCCACGAATATATGTCGTGGAAAATATCCAAAATAGGCCACGGAATTCATTCGTAGTTATAATTCTAATTGCCCACGAATATATGTCGTGGCTATAATTCTAATTGCCCACGAATATATGTCGTGGCAAATATCCAAAATAGGCCACAGAGTTCATTCGTGGCTATAATTCTATTTGCCGACGAATATATGTCGTGACAAATATCCAAAATTGGCCATGGAGTTCATTCGTGGCTATAATTCTAATTGCCCACGAATATATATCGTGACAATTACTCAAAATAAGCCACGGAATTCATTCGTGGCTATAATTCTAATTGCCCACGAATATATGCCGTGGCCATTATACATTTTTTCAATATATTAATTTTTTTGAATTTATATATATATATATATATATATATATATATATATATATTAATAACATATTAATATGGCACCAATTATAATTTTATAACCTATAAATTATTAACTTTATAAACAATATCATAAATAAAATTTAATCACACATCAAAATGATTATGCAAATAAAGAAATACTTGATATTATATACCACACCAACCAAAAAGTATTGTTTACAACATATACAATAAAACCCATCGCGCAAAAAAAACAAAAAAGGAGTCTTAGCATCTGAACAAAAACTAGCTAGTATCCTTATCTGAGATCTTAGACAAAAATGAGGTATAGAATCCTAAACAAAGGATTCAAAGATTTGGACATAAACAAAAAGAGTTTGAATTCTTATAGCATGAGCCCATCCAACAATCTGCAAAACCAACATTGAATAAATACAATTAGCGTCCATGTAAAAAAAAAAAAAAAAAAAAAAAAAAGAAAGGAGAGAAAGAAAGATGAACCCAAAGCTAAGTTTTCAAAATATACTACATGAAATAAAAAATATAAATAGAAAATAAGAACACCAATAGAAAAGATTTATCAACTCATTAAAGATAAGGAAAAGTATAAATAATAAAAAAAAACATAATATTATTAAGATTTATCATTGACAAGTTACGCTTTGAAAATTCAATATATAAGAATATTTACTTTGTGAAACAAAATTAATCATATTACTTTTTATGTTATTCCTCGCTACACTACAACAAAAATGATTATTAGCAATGTGACATTTACAAGATACATAGTCTAAGTGTTGTTAATTAGTTACCTTTTGTAAGATGCTCATTATTTTAGTCTACAACACTTTTAGACCCTTGTTAATGTTTTATTAAATTTTAGCGCTCAAACTCTCACTTTTCAGTATTCTGTAACAGAAAGAATAACCTTTATTACATGCACTCTCCCATGTCTTATGCAAAAATGAATTCTTGTAACATGGATCAATCAAGAATCTAGAAACCGATGATGTACAATTAGTACCTATGTCAATTAGAAAAATGAATCCAAAGATGAACTCTAAAAACATTTCATCATAAAGAAAAAAGTTCCATTAAGAAGCACTAAAAATTGAATCTTCCATTTAAGTATATATGTGTGATCCCATTACAACACTAATATATTGTGTGCAGGATATTAATATATATGGTCTCCATGCAACATTAAGCATAGAAAATTAAACATAAAATTGCTTTTGGTTAAACTGTATATTCACTAAGTGATCAAAATAGATAACAGATAATTAATCACCGCAAGCAATTAATCAGCCAACATTTCATACACATTATATTTGAGAACTATTTTGGTAAAATTGAAAGATTTTAACGAGAACTATTTATTTGAGGATCACAAAACTAAATGGTATAATCCAGGGCTTAAGTTGCACACTACATTGTTGAACAAAATAATAAATATAGTAAATATAATTAAAACTGCTTTATTCAATAGAAGTGTCATGTTTAGCCAATGTTATACGCTGCAAAATTTGATTCGATGTGATAGAACTATGTTAATGTTGTTCCAGTAATGCTTATTTGTTCCGAGTGTCATCTAATTCTTCATCAAAATTTACCTTTGAAAATCTGGAGGTAGTGACCAATATTCTTATAGTGGTGACTTAAGTTTATAGCAGTTTTGAAGTGGGGAAAAATTGGGGTGTTGGATGAGGTTGTCAAGGTTATTACACTAAGTCCTATCAACTTAAGTTTAGCCCTTTCTTCAAGGAAAACATTTAAGATTCTGCAACACTTGGGAACTAGTTGTGCTTGATTCAAATGAACTTTTTTTGCTGGCTACATAAATAGGTAGGATTGCTAACCTAATCAATTTATTTGCAAATATCAAGACAGGCCAAAAACAACAACCCTAACCAAAAGTAAACTAAACTGAACAAATGAACTAAAACGTACCAAGGAAAAGATCAAACATTGAGAATGCATTGGAAAAACTCTATCACCAAAAATGGAGCATTGAACCAACAAGAAAGCCATTTCTACCAAAACCAATCATTCTGAAGAGAAACCAAACATATCCCGAAAAAAAATTGACTAAAAAAACCCCAAACAAAAGAACCCACAATAGGCACACATATATAACCATACATAACATGCCCATACATGATCAATCTGAATCAAACTTGAGTTCCAATCAATTAGAATCATGTTGACCAACAAATAATTGTTAATGCAACCAAAATCAACCAACAATTTGATATATAAAAAAAAAGCTAAAAATTAATAACTCTAAAAAACCCTAAAAATTTAAAACTTAAAAGCCCAATCATACCTATATATATATAGAATAAAAAATACTTAATTTATACATGATTCAAGTTCATGATTCTCAAAAGGTGTGTACCCTTCAACTTCCAAATTGCTCTTTGTTTTGCATTGTGTATCGGTGTGCTGTTTGCTAGTTTTGACACATTTAGATATCATAAAAATCTGTTACTTGCTATTCTGCAAAATATTTGCCTTTCTATGTTTTTCTTTTAACTTGATAGGTATTCTATTTAAGAATTTTTCTAACAATTTTATTTTCTTCCTAAAAAAATGAGACTAAATTTCATTCTCATTGACCGTGAAAATTCTAAGTGGTTAAATGACTAAAATAAATTTTTGAATGAGGTAAAAAATTAATATAACTAGCTCTATTAATAAGGAGTAACTTACCATAAACGATGATTGTTTTGGGGTGATATAAACTTAGCAATCCTTGCTGTCAGATTAGCAAGCTTAGTCTCCAAGGAGTTAATTGTCTGTTGTTGTTGTTGGGCATTGCGGTCCTGTTCCACCTTGTATTGCTGCATCTCACGAATCTTCTCCTCTTGTTCTAGCATCTTTATAGATTGATCCTCCATCTTCTGTTGCATCATTTGATTTTGCTCTTGTAGCTGCTCTTGCATGGCTTGATTCTGTTCCTGCAACTGTGCCTCTAATTGGTTTGCTCTTTGTTTGGCCTCTGCAATTTCTATCTGATGGCATTTTGAAACAGTGATGGGTGCTTACCCATATCCGAGACCTTTAAAGTATCTTGACTTGTGACCAATTACTTAGGAAAAGGCTTCAGTTGGGGTCATTTGCACCAATCCCGATTCAGATGAATCATCAGATGCATGAGATTGTAGATTCTGGACCATCTTTGCCTACAATGACAAGTTGTGAGGATAACATATTAATTATAGAAAATCATTTATGAACAACTATCCAAGATTTAGCACACCAGTCTTTAAGTAGAGTCTAAAATATAACTTTTCACTGAGATTTTTGGTCTACATAAGCTTAGTCTTCTACCAGCTTTCTACTAGAACCTTTCTTTTCTTAGACAGTGCATAGCTAATACTTTTATAAATTATGAGCTGCATGGGCTTGTTTTCATATCTTTTTTTATTTCATCATCATTCAGCTAACAACTTATTATAATTTTATCATACATATATTTATATATATAAATGAAAGATATACTTCATTAATCTTATCAAATCATCAATGGATCATTCATTAAACTAGAATATATACTCCCCTTACTCTTTCTTTTCCTCAATATTTTTTTCAAACAAAAAAGGAAAATTAAACCTCTTTTTAAAAACAAAAATCTTAGACAATGCATAGCTAATACTTTTAGTAATGACAGAGCAAAAAGATTAGTCAACCAAAAATTTAATATTGTTCAAGCTCTTGTTTAACTTAAAAACTTACATGTAACTCCTCACATTGTGGTGTCATCCATGTCCCTTTTTTCTCTCCTTTCTCTCGGCAGTGTGTCTTTTTGTAGAAAGTCACCAAATCAGGCTCCTCTTGTGTCTCCTCGTTTCTCTGATTCATTTTGAAATAGTTTTAGGATTATGTATACAAATTTCTCATTATAAATAATAAGATCATAGTGAGAGTATAAGTTAACAAACCATCTCATATCGAGACCTAAAAAAAGGTTTCGAGCCAGAACAATGATTTGTGACATTCTTCTCCCTGTTTTTTGTGTTTGTCCCACTCTTTTTCTACATACAAATTTACAAATAATAAGTATGAAAAGGTCAGAGTATGAAAAACAAAAATTATAAGTAAATAAATGAGGGGGTACTTACCAAAAATTCATCATTAATAAACATATCACAGACAACCTGCTAATCCTCGTCTTCAACTCCCTCATAAGAATGACGACGTGCCTCTAAGACATTACCTTTGAAAGACTTAAAATACACATGCATGTCATACTTCCACGCTCTGAACCTATCACCGAAGAATGTGTATATACCTTTTCAAAATTCTGTGAGGTCTGTCCCCTCTATCCGTACGTCAAACTTATCCAAAAAGAATGTTGATATCATAGACATCAAGTATTAGTTTTCAAGTAATTGGATAATAAATCTAAATAAAAAATTAAATACTTAAATAAAATAATTAATTCTTACTTACCATTAATGCTCGATATAGCACGTCATTAGTAGCCTCATCCACATGTAACCAAGTCCCGCAAGTGATAGGTGCGCGTGTACGACATATTAAACCAACTTCAGTTCCAAAGTTCTTAGCCCAACCACCCACTAGCCTATGTTGGCCCTTACGAAAAATTACAACAGGTTTAGGACCTTTCTTTGCTAAAGATGTAGCGAGTGCGACTCCTGTTGTTTTACAACGCTTGGTCTTTGACGTGGAAGTAACTATAATAATGACAATGATCAAAAAGATTGATAGTAAGATATACTAATAAACATCACACGTTGCATGGATAAAATGACATGGAAAAAAGAAAAAAAAAAAAAAAAAAAAAAAAAATTACCTGAACCAGATATGTCAGTTGCAGCATTGGATGTAGGTGAAGGTGTGGTAGTGGGAATATGAGTTGAAGTCGAACTAAGAGAAGGGATATCGGTGCTTGTGGGCATTGGAAAAGTATGGGGAGTGGGACTAGGAGGAATGGGGTCATTAGTGCTTGTGGGAATGGGTGTGGGAACAAGACTTGGAGTAGGACTAATATTGGGAGCATTAAAGCTCGTGGGAGTGGGTGTTGGAACAAGACTCGGAGTTAGAATACTAGTGGGGACATCACTGCCTATAGTCATGGACATGGATGTATCAACACAAGAGGATGAGTTAATTGCCGAAAGCTTGCGTTTCTTAAGCCGTCCAAGTCCAGCCATGACGCACAATTTAATCTGAATAAAATTGACATACCAAAAAGAGCCACTCCATTAAATAATCAATAGGGTTTAGGAAAATTAGTTACTAGAAAAAACAAGAAATACATAAAGGATATCATGCATCAAGAAAACTAAAAGTCATTGAAGAGGACCTTTATTACTTAATTCCCTAGTGGATAGCATAAACAAATATATATATATATATATATATATATATATATATTAATTGCCCAGCATGTGTTCAGAGCATGCAGTGTGTTGTGGGTAGAGTATAGGCAGACCTAACTTCTACTATTAGTTTGCTTGTGCTTGTTCTTCACAATGTAGTAACAAATATATATATATATATATTATACATTGAAAACACATAAGGTATTGAAAAATACAATGTTTTAATGAAAAGATAATTATAAACGTAACTTGAGTATAAATAGCAAATAAATATATTCTGGAGACACACAACATGAAAGCACAATTTTTATAGATCTTTCTAGCAAATAAACATGATCAGATCTTTCGAAACAAATAGATGATATCAAACCTAAACACAAAATTAAAACCTAAATTAGCAATGACAACAAATAGATGATTTGTAATAGGTGTCGTTATTGTTTTAATCAAATCTCTTTCCTCAAAGCATCAAGAAGTTACCTAAAAAGGTACAAAATATAGTAGCTCAAAGAGAAATATACAGTATATATACAAAATAAAGAGACAATCTCATTCTTGAAACCCTGAACACCAAATTAAAAGTAGAAATTCTTTAATTGTAAATCAAATCTCTAATAGAAGAGTGACAACTCATTCTTGAAACCCTAAACACCAAATTAAAACTAGAAATCCTTTAATTGTAAATCAAATCTCTAATAGAAGAGAGAGAACTAAAATCAGAAATTCTTTAATTGTAAATGAAATCTTTAATACAAGAGTGATAACTCTTACCAGAGATGTTGAATGATCTGATTATAGAGAACGATCTGATGCCTACGGCGGAAGAGGGATGGTTACGTTATTGAGAGCAGATGGGATGAGGGAAGTAATGAAAGATTATGATATTTAGGATTCTAATAGCTATGAAGTTCCTTTTCCCTAAATTTTAGGCACTAAACTTTGGCGCTTTAGCACATTGAACAAAAATTTTGGCGTTGTTGCGTACTTTTAACCAAGAGTGATAACTTTTGGTGTTATAGTGTGCTTAACCAAAAATAATTATAAAAAAAGTTAAATATAATAAAAATCTTATTACAAATATTTTTAGTACTTGTTTTTTTGAGAAATTTTTATAAATTACTTTTTTTTAAAAAGTATAAATTATTTCCAAATTTATAAATTTTTATAAGCAATTTAAATAAACAAACTATTTTGTAAAATATAATGATATGGACCGCAAGTATCATACAAATTAAACTAATCTTCATATATTTTTAGTAAATTAATTAATTTAAATAATAAATAATTAATCTCTAATTACATACAATCTTATTTTTTTATATGTTGTTTCTCTATTAGTTTAGATACTTCACATCTTATGTGATGGCTAAATTTGATTAAAAATAAATATTTTAAAAATAACAAATGTATAAAATAAATTCATTTTCAAAATTATTTATTATATCAATTAGTATATGTATATACATACACTCATCATATGTTGGTTTTTATGTTGCAAAATTAAACAAAAAACGCAAAAAAGAGATCAAACACACACACAAAAACTCAAAATTCTGTTTGATTGTAAAAATTGTTAAAAATTCTGTTTTAGAGATGAGAGTTTATTTTTGATATTTTAATTGCTAATGCACTATTAATTAACTAGTGTCACAGGTGCTTTACTCTTAAAAAGTTAATTAGAATTGCACAAATGCGCTATTAGTTTACTTTAAAATAGAGTAAAAGGACTACAAGATTTACTTCTAGTGACATGATTTGTCTCAAATTAAGATCCACTAATACAAAATGATTAGTATATGTGTTTTCACCATTGTCACACACTCTTCACTAATCACTTCTCTTGTTTACAATAAATCACCGAGAATAATCCCCCCTGTTTACAATATCTTTCTTACACCACAACAATCCAAACTAGCAAGATAAAATGTTTAAGAGGACAATATAATTTAGCTTACATGCACAATGAATAGAGTTTTGTACAGGCTTTTGAAATCAAGTGACTGATGCTTGTGAGGAAATTCTGAAGTTGAAGAATGTTGAAATGGGATCCTGCTTCAGTGATGAGAATGAGACAATTGCAAAAAGCTTTTGGCCTAAAAATTCTTCTCTTGATGATGTATGCTAGTAGATCACTATCCTCTGATATCACTGCTACTATTTCACCTTTTTCTTCTTCAAGATTGGACAAATAGGCTAACTGTGCATCAGCCTCGTACAGAGCTAATGACAAAATTAAAGTTCTATGTTTTCAAAATCTGAAAAAACACCATTTGACAGAATCAAAAGATTAAATGTGAGATTATGAAATATAATTCAATGTGAGAAACAATATAGAATTTGGCCAAGAAATGTAGAAGGAGAACTACTCAATGGAAGGAATGATATGAAATTTGGGCAACAAATATCTAGAACTATGACCGAAATGTAAGATTTCATATAATATTAGATGGAAAAAAAAAGCTGGAAAAAGCTGCTAAAGATCAGCAATTGAGTACCTGAATAAGTTGATGCGCCATTGATGGAGTGATACTCACTGCCCTCTACATGCCAAAGAAAAAATAATAGTAAATTCCCTAACATAAAATTCAAATATTTCTATCAACAAGAAAAAGATAAACTTTAGCACAAATAAAAGCAAAAACAAACTGATAAATTATATATCTGTATACATGCATCCATGGACACACACAAAAATAGATATGAAGTTATATAAAAATTGCTACCAAATAAACAGAGCTTGAAGAGAGACTTTGGCTAAGAAATCTGAGAACGTGAACAGGGACGGTACAGAGGGCTTCTTTGGCTGAGGAGATAGAACCAAGACATTCGTTATAAATGAGATATAGGGTTCTGTCGGTTTTTAAGCCAACTTTTGTTCTCCGTGTTTTCATTATGTGGTCTCTTAGTTTTCAAAAATTGCCAAAACAACAAAAATTTATTCTCTAAAACTGATGTTACGAGTTCTCAGTTTTTTTTAAAACTATTCTGTGAAAATAGATCCAAGTAGAATAAAAAGACAATTTTTAGATTTTGGTAACTCTCAAAACAGTAACTGTTTTGAGAGTTCTAAATCAAGCAGGGCCTTATTTTCCTTGAGTAATGATAAAACTTTGTAACATAAGCAAATAAAGGCCATCGGGATGAAACAAAATATATAGCCATGAAATCTTAAAAATTTAAGCTCTAATAATCTGCGCAAAAATGGGCCAGTATCCTAAAAAGATATTCTAAGATCGTAGACAAAAAGGAAGCTGTAGAATCCTAAATAAAGAGTTCCAAAATCTGAACAAAAGCAATATATCCTATCCAAAACAAAAGGAACTTGAATTCTTGTAGCACAGCCCATCACCAATCTACAAAACCAACGATGAATAAGTACAATTAGTGCATGCCAATTTAATCCCTACCAAAACCAATAAACAGGGAAGAGAATTTTTTTTTCAAATAACACCATGCATAGGAGGCACTATAATTTTAAAAATATATATAATGAGTTTCAAAAAAAAACATCAAGTAAATGAATAGATTCAAAATCTTAGTGCATAGCTCTTGTTTAGGTTTTAGACTTACATATAACTCCTCTGGTTACAGATCAGCTTTCTTAATAAATAAATGAAGCTGTGCAGAGGAAGGAGCTTATAGTACTACATTCAACTACAAGGCTGTATTTTCCATTGTCTCGCATTTTTTTTGTAGATGATCTTATGGTTGCTTGTAAAGCTTTCATCCACAATGCAAAAATCTTGGCAACCATTTTCAAAAAATTTGAGGAAATTTCTGGTCTTCAAATTAATCCTCAGAAGAGTAAAGTCTTGTTTTCAAGAGCTGTTAGAAGAAAGCAAGGTATATTAAGGCTGCTGCAGTGTTCAGAGGAGGTATTTCCTATCAAGTACTTAGGTCTTCTCTTTGCCCATCTGGTTTGAAAAGGTCTAACTGCTGGTTGATAAGGTCATTAAAAAAATTTCTCACTGGAATACAGAGCTTCTGTCCCTTGCTGGTAAGTTGGAGTTAATTAAGACAGTAGTGAATCCTATTTTTCTTTACTAGTGTAGTATCTTTTCTGTCCCTGTGGCTATGACAAATCAAATACAAAAGCTCTATAGTTCTCACAGTTCAGAATACTACTCTACAAGATGTTATCACTTAATTTTCTGGTGTTGTTAGGGCTATTTTGGAAATGGGCTTTTTCTGAAGTATTGTTGGGTGATATATTTGCCTACTGTTGTTCTTGGCTGTTGGTAACATGGGTTTTTGCTGTTGAAAGCTTTGGGATATTTTCTCTATTTTTGTTTTGCTATTCAACTTTCTTGTTTTTCTTATTTTTCAATTTTGTTGTGGTAGTGGAGCTTGTCCATTGCTCCATAGTTCTTTTTAATTCTAAGATTCTAGGAGTGGATGTGTATCTCTCCTAGGTCTTTTTCATTCTGAGGGAATGCCCTCTGTGCACCTGTATATATATTTTTCTTTTTCTTTTTTATACAAACACAATTATGAAAAAAATATATATATAACTCCTCGCATTGTGGTGTCATCTATATGTCCCTGTGTCATCTTCTTAGTGTGACTATTTCTAGAAACAGACATTTAATTTGTTATTAAGAGTGTGTAGCAAATGAAAATAAAGGAGAAAAAATGCTATTAATTAATCAAGAGTAGATAAAGAAAGGGGAAAGAAAAATAGAGTAACTTACTATGAGCAGTGATTGTTTCGTGGTGACATAAACTAAGCAAGCAGCGCTATCAAATCCGAGAACATCATTTAATCAATTTCACCATCTGTATCATTATTAGTGCACAAAATCTCTTCCTCTTCCTCTTTCTCTTCATCTTCGTCTTCATCTTCCTAATCATCACAGTAATCAATCAACGTATCATCTTCACTTGTATCATCATCATCAATAACAAAATCATCATCTAATTAATAGTCAACATATTCTGGTTCAACATCTTCCATGTGCAATGGATCCACATCTTGCTCATTGTAATAGACAACTAAATCAACATCTTTCTCATCTTCAGTTTCATATGTATTGTCCTCATCTATATCTTCATGTTCATGTTGTAAAGACAACTCTGGAACATCGTACCAGTTCCTGGTTATTACTTTTTGTACCACATGCCAATCACCACCCAACTTGGGGTCCTTCATGTAAAACACTTTATGGGTTTGGCATGCTAATTGACGAGTACTGAAAAGTGTGCATTTAAACCCCTTAAACTTGAGTGTTCTAGGACCTTTACTTATCTTATTTCCCCGTTTTATTCTAATTTCGTGTTACCCGTTTTATTCTAATTTCGTGTTATTGCCCTTTCCAGGTGCTTATCCCAAAAATAAGTCAATTCAGCCAAATAAGAGCATTAAAGGAGTTAACTCAAGCTTAATGGAAAAAAGGAGCAAAGTGGGAGCAAAATGAAGCAAAGTGTGGAAATTCAGCATGTTCGATCGATTTCAGCATTTCTTTTATCGATCGAAAGTTCATCGATTTAAACAATTCAAGATGGATCCAAGCCCTTGTCCTTATCCAAAAGAATCTAACAAGTTCGATCGATCCAATATTTCCTAGATCGATCGAAATGATTCGATCTTATCCACACCTGCCACCCACCTACCACTTTTGTCTTCTTCCCAAAAATATCTCAGAGATTTGTCTTTATTAAAAAAGGCACCGCCAAGGATGATCGATCTCTGCAGCATTCGATGGATCTCAGCCATGTTCGATGGATCTCAACACAGTTTGATCGATCGAACTTCCTCAAGTCCAAAAAAAAAAATAGATTCCAGCTCATTAAAAGTTGGCTCATGGTGCAATCATTGGAAGGACCTTGGTGTACAAGCCCAGACCATTGGGTGACATTTTGACCTACCTATATAAGGATTGAGAGCCACTTTTAGAGCATAGATAGTTGTTATTGATAACTTGTAATTTTCTTATCTTGGAGAGGAGGCTAGAGATTAGAGAGAGCTTTT